AGTTGATGGAACGTTTTTGAAATCTAAGGAATTGTTGGTAATTTCATTGTAAAGAAAATAACGTCACGCCATCGGTAGAATTCCCAATGTTTTGGACGTTGTAAGCCAATCAAAACGTTTTTGTGAACGCATTTGGAAATATTGCCTAGAATGCAATAGTTTCTGAAACGGCGAATTCTTTCATGAAGATTTTGCATTATATATAGATTGTAGTTATCTTGGATTATTTGTAGTGTCTGACTTTGATTCTGGTCCTGTAGCAAAAGTATCGACGTATTCTGCACAGACTGTTTGCTTCATATTCATATTTTAACGGGTGCCCCACGTGGAGCAGGATCTGCTTACCCTTCCGAAGCACCTGAGGTCACCCCCTGTTTTTGGTCGGGTTCGTGTCGCTCATTCTTTAGTTTTCTATGTTGTGTTTTTGCACTGTTTTCCTTTTCATCGTTTTTCGTTGTTTGCCATGGCATTGTCAGTTTGTTTTCGATTTATGAGTTTGAATATCCGTTTGATATCTTTCGCCTCCCATTTAACGACTTAGATACAGAATTTATAAGAAACGTCTCCTCATTGTCTTGCTTTAAAACATTCGTTCCTTAGAGTTTTGCGTTTTCTTGATCTCTTATACCAGATTATATTTTCAATTACATATTTTGGTGTTTGAATGAGGCTTGTAACGAGAAAATAAAAACTCCAGGATTGTAATGAAGAAAATAAAATCTGATATAATATTTTCCCGAATCTAAAGTTCACCACCACTTTGTTATCGATGAATATAATATCTCCAATTATCAACGACAAACAATTTTCTTCAGATTACATTTATTTATTTTTCCCGTCGGATATTTACAGATCCTTATCGTGATCTTTTGTGTTTTATTATTTATCCCTCTTCAGACTGTAGAGGCGTCTCTAGGTTTAAAGATAATCATAGGAGCTGAAGAATATGCAACGAATGAATAAATTAGATAACTTTGGATAAAATAATTATGAAAAATCATTTAAGAATCGTAGACATATTTTTAACACCATTCAGTAAATCTGTGAATTTTCATGTGGCGGTCAGATATATTTTGGTCAACTGTTTTGATGACGTATAATTAGTTGATTTCAAATGACAGATGATCTCATTAGTCGGTTCATTAGTCAGTATTTATTCAAAACTAAGAATTTGTCATGAATATATATTCTGACAACTGGCATGATTATAGTCTAGTGTGTCTGTATGGACAAGAGAAGGTCAACGCATATATTGTCTTTTCTTTTACATAAATTTCTCCTTTAAAGAAGGTCTGTTATAAGCATTATTGGGAAATTTCAACCCCCCGAAATAAAGTTGAGAATTGTCTACCTACATCTTTGTTCAAAGAATTCAAATGGTCTTGAACTTATACACAATTATTGCCAATACCTGACAATGATGGTTAATATTATGGCTTCCAAAGAAAAGCAAATACTGTACATCTTATGGATCTTTTATGCATTCTTTATGTGCAGACTTGCATTCTGTTTCATATACGATGATACTATATTAATGTAAATGCAAAACAGTATTCCGACTAAAGAAGGAAATCAATTAATAGTTAAGTTATTCCTGCTAACGCCTACCGTTCATTTTACTTTACCAGGTTGATATTACTAATGCTGGTGGACTGTCAGGGCCTGATATTACATTCCGCCCTTCAGAAACCAGTGCTTGACAATTAGTAATATTTGAATTTTATATTTGGCGATAAATATGTATTTATAAATTACACGTATGTTGCTGTACAAACAATATGGTTCCCATTCCTTCAGTCAAAGTTGAAATACTTCTTTTTCGGCCCTCTTTGGTTTTGAATATCTGAAAAGTTTTATATATTTGGCTTCATCATGGTAGTACTACTAGTATATTTGACTACAATATAGTACTTCCATGACCTCACAACAATTTGGGAGGCTACCCATTGAAGGTTTTTCAAGAACCATTTCGTGTCCACAGAAATTTGTATAAAACGTTTATTTTGTTCCCATTCCCAAAAGAGAGGCGAAAGATACCAAATGCACATTCAAACTCATAAGTCGAAAAATAAACTGAGAACGCCATGGCTAAAAAAGAAAAAGACCAACAGACAAATAATAGTACATAAAACACAACAGACGCAGAAAGGTAATAATCTGAGGTATAAAATAGATGGAGGTTATTTATTTTCCCTATTATATGTTTTTTATCGCATTACCACTATTAATTTAGGTTAGATAGTTCCAGATCTCATGTTCTTCTCTATACGAAATGTTTCATAACAGACTTAGACACGAATATTAAAAGCATACAGTCAATGTTTTTCTTGTAATATAATACCAATACCAAATCGTTTGTTTTTATGATGACATGTGTTTTACAATATTAAACAATTATATATCAATAAACGGTTGTTATTACATGTATCAAAACCCTGCCCTTTGCACCTATAGGTCACTTTAAACATTTATACATATAAAAAGAAAACGGCGGACAAAATAAGAATTTAAGTTTGGTCGTTCTTATATAAAAAAATCTTTACTTAAACGCATTGTTAAAAAAAATAGCAGTTTTTCTAGGATATTTGCAGATAAGCAAATTGAAAATTTTCATCTTTAGAGAGAATTTCAAAAAAGTGTTAAAGATTCGGTATAAGTTAAATTTTTAAAATCTCGGTAAAAAGTACAGTCCATTAGAAAGTGGCGTTCAATTTCAACACAGTTTGAGTCACCCATTTTGTAAATACGACCAGCTTCTGCTTCTCAAACGAACCGTCCTGTTCCAGTCCTCAAAGGAAGTATGCCGCATCTAAATTGTGCCAGTATAGAACGTTCAGCACGAGTGAGGTTCAATCCAACATAGGTTTCACATTTATGTTCTGATTTAAATGTTTTATATGTTCGCAATTTTGGAAAGTTTGTAATAGAATTTTTCTCATTCAGTGGAACACAACATATGAAGTCTGTCTTTTACAAGTGAAAGATCACAAATCTGGGTTTGGTGGAAATATTCCTCCATGTCAATTTGTATCAAAATGTGTTTCACATCTGATAACCAATTGTTCAAACAACGTTCAAAGTCCCAGTTGAAAACGTGTTTACATAAGCGTATATCGTCCATTCCGATGAGCTTATTCCAAGGTCTGATTATATTGTACCAGTGTCTTTCTTTACATGGCAGCCCTCCAACATCGCCATGTTTAACAACTTCCGGTGCAGATTTATGAACACCAAAGAAATAACGGTTGGCTATGTTTTGCACCAAATTAACACATGCATAGTCTTTATACCCCCAGACTTAGGAGTCATAATCTAAAATCGGCACGATACAAGATGTATACAGTTTTTCAAATGTCTTTATATTTCGAAGTTCTTAAGATTATGAATTTTAGAAATTTTTCCAACGAGTGCTCGCCCTTCGGCTAATATTAAGCTTTATATTATTCACAAAAAGGTGATCTTTTTAAGTAGCACCAATATTTCATGAATTGTTTCATTCACAAAGTGAATGTCTCAAAAGTTATGAAATACTACTAGAAATTGAAAATAAAAGAGTCTATATCATATACTTAAAATAGTGTTTCATATTTTACATATTTCCATAAAACCAAAAAGTTTATCAGCGCTACATGTTGCTGTTGAAGGTATTTTTATACCAAATTGCAAATTTTACATGTTTTTGTCAAACTTTGCATCGAAGCACATCAATTATACCAAAAACTAAATTACAACCCAATCTATTTATATCTTGCTAGACTAAATATGGATCATTTAACCCATTATTGAGAAAGGCCTTTGAACTTTCGAAATCCCTCGATTTACAAGGTGTATATTCTTGTATTCATATATGCTAAGAATGTCTTACCAGACAATAACCTTGAAGACAAAGTGGCCAACTGTAAGAATATTACAGATGTTAAGCTTTTAAATCAGAATTTCTGTATAAAAAATTAAAACCTTCACTTAAAGAAAATTTTTACATATTGTTAAATGATATTTCTATCAGGAATATTTTTACAAAACTTCGTATAAGTGACCAATGTCTTGAAATTGAAAATTGTCGTTATATTAAAGTTCCTCGAGAATAAAGACTGTGCAAAACCTGTAAAGTTGTCGAATATGAATCTCATTTTATTCTGAATTGTAAGGTTAACCAGAATATCAGACAAAATCTATTTAATGATATACAATTAGATATCAGACAAAATCTATCCGATGATATACAATTAGATGGCATCTAATTATATATCATTACATAGATTTTGTCTAATATTCTTGTTAACCTTGCAATTCAGAATAAAATAAGATTCATATTCGATCACTTTACAGGTTTTGAGATGAACATCTAATGCATTCCCCTAGTCCAAACAATTATGACGTCTTGAAAGGCTTTTTTTTCTGTGACGCCTTCCTACGACATCATAACGCTGAAGCCATTTTTTCCGTCTGGACTTGGAGAGAGAATTTACGGCGGAACTTTGAGACCCAATTTTGCCATGAAATCTTTATTGACTGCTAGAAATGTTTGCATTGATACACAGTTTTACCTTTTGTGTGTTTGTTGGTGCAAAATATTTCCAGAAATATCCCAAAGTAATGATAAAATAAGTTACGATTCCATTTGAGGTGTGCAATGATCTACTTCGATTTCAAAATGGTTCCTGATTTCCCAAGATTCTTCACTTCCGGAGAGTATAAAATATCAAACTCCGTAAAATTTAGCAGACCCGAATTTGCGGTTAATATAAATCGAACGTTCCGGAATTCGAGTCTTTCAAATTTTATGGAGTTTGGTATTTTATATGCTGTAAATGTTTAATTACATTAAAATTGGTTTGATTTGATTTAAGTTACAAATATTCATTGACTGACTAATGTGTAGGAAGATGTTATAACAAATATAAGGAACCGTTCATCACACTGTAGTTTAAAAAAAAAGACTGTTTATTCGATTTGAATTTTGTAAATGAATTCAAATATTCTTTGAATTTATATTTCAGTGACCTTGGTCGAGTCCTTTCGAAATGAGGCTACAAGTTACTTGGATGCACTACTCACCTCACAGAACACTAGAAGTAACGTGAACTCAAATATTTTACCAGTCAAAAGAGGCTGGGAAGCATGGGATATGCCTTGGATGAAAGCCAGTGTGCGTCCAACAAAACGAGCGTGGGAGGGTATAGGTTTAATTAGTCGCAGAGTTATGTATCCAGGTACTTTGGAACAATTAAAGCGTGGATGGGAAGGGTTAAATTGGCGATATAGAATGCACCAAGGTAAACGAAGTCAAAATATTTTGGAACCTGTGTCAGAAGAAGCCAACAGCTGTGTATGCTGTAAAAATGACAATGATCCACTCTGTTGTTTATCTTGCACTAGCGAAACTGAATCAGAACAAACCGAAAACTCGGGACAACAAACCGAAAACTCGGCACAAGGATACACGTCTTTTTTAAACGTATTTTGTCGTTGTTGTTCATCTTCAAACGACGCTGAATGCTGTCGTTATTGTGACATGCTTACAAATTGAGGATATATACGGTGTTGTCACATATTTATTGTCATCAAACCATTGTTATACATTTTATTATATAATTCACTGATTTTGCTTTACTATTAGCATTACTATCCATATTTTGCAATTCATTAAGAATATGTCAACTGACTAGGAAGGAGCATTAGTTTTTGATTTATCATAAACGTCATCATTGATAAGAAAGAACGGTGTTCCCTTAAACGGTGACTTCTTCTGAAACACAAGAAGACTGAACATTAAACCTTTAGTATATAATTTGTAATTATATGAGATCAAAATAACCGGGAAGAAACAAAAATTACCAATTAAAGGACATGATTAAACAAAATTAATATTGGTATTTAAAATACGGCAGGTACGTACCAGTACCAGAAAATAGTCTATGAAAGACACGATTGACCTGAGATCAGTCTTGGATAAAAAGCAAAATGATCACGTGCTTTGTATCACATGTTAAATATCTTTTAAGCGATATAAGTAAATGTTTGCAAACAATAACTATAATGTGCTTTTTGTTCATTTTACCTTAGTTACCTTATTACCTTACAGATTTTAAAACTAATCAGAGTGTATAGTTCTATTGTTAAAATGTTGTTGTTTTTACATCATTTTAACGATTGAACTATACACTCTGATTGTTTTTTAAAATCTGTAAAATGCAAATATTATTTAGTTTGTTGTTTGTTTATTTCATCTGTAATTATTATTAATATTGGTTCTTATCAAGTGTCTATTAGAATGTTTTAAAGGTTGTATAATTAAAACACTAAGTCTTAAATCATTTTTATTTACTCATCGTCTTTCAATCTCATGCGTTTTGTGTGATAAAGATGTTAAAATAGCATGCTATGAAGAAGTGGAAATGTTTCCAAAGGTATCTTACTAGGATAAGATGTGTGAAACTGGTGAAGTAGGAGCAATAGAATAGTAACTCTTCTACATGTATGATTTATATACGTGACATAGTCTATCGTTTGTTAATAATTATGTCGATAACAACACTGATTAAATTAAAGTTTTTTCGAAACCACAATCGTAAATTTAAAAAACAAAATATCTGATCTGAAATATACATACAATTTCATATTGTCTTATTTTCATAATTTTTCGAGAGAATTGGTTTAGTTACAAGCCTTTTCACTGAAAATGATAATCTTTGCTTCGGGTTTCTCGATGTATTTGTAGTAAATATTTATATCGGAATAGGTTGAATTTGCCCTAGTGCCATAAAATCTAAAGAATAATTCTTTGCTGCATATCCGGCAATCGATACGATTGCTATGTTTTCCTTCAACTCTCTTAGACTAGTCTAGCTGCATATAAGAGTTGGCATGTTTCGGTGAAATACATCCAATAGAAAATTGAATTGAGGAAGGTACGTTAGGAATTTATTTTCATAGAAACATGTCAAACCAAGTTTATACTCCTTTATCAGGGTTTTACTGATGAGCACATAACTTAAGGATGTATTCTTCTGACGTTTCAGTCTCGTTGAAATCTCGTTCTGGAATTATTTCCACATGTGATACAAGTGGAAAATATCAATGAATTCAAAAAAATATCTTAATCAAACTTAACTCTATGAAAAAATTGTGTATTTACGATAAGTAGTTTTGAGTAATAAAATTTTCAAAATACAAGAAATGATTTTACCAGAAACATGTACATCCCATATCATTTTTTTCTTTTCAAATTTCTTAGATATGTATTTGTTCAATCATTTATAACAATGAAGTTGAAATAAAATGCTTTTAGTTCAAAAAAAAAGAGAAAAATCCAAAATTTACATAATTGACAGCATGGTAAATTTGACACGAAAAATGCAACAAAAATTTATAAGACTTTCTTATATTAACACCTACCTATAGTTTTTTTACAGTTAAATTTATTCAGATTGGTCCACTTCATCTTTATTGAAAGTATGAAAAAAAAATTAATTGTGAAACTGTGATTTTATTCATGATAAAAGCCCCAAAACGGGTAAAAATTGATGAAAAATGGGAAAATCATCAGAAATTGGGCACTTTCAAATGGCCGTAGCAAAAAAAAAAGAAGTGCACCACCATATGATTTTTTTCTTCATCAATTATTTTTTTGCAGTCATATAAACCCAAAAAGCATGTTAAGATAAAAAGTTTAATTCTAGAAATTTTTGGCTCCTCAGAGGTGTACATCCTTAAGTACAAAAATTAAAAAATAAACAAACACTGAAAATAAAACAAAATACCTGTTGAGGTACATACAAATTTCCTTAAAAAAAACGAAGAAAAAAAGGTTTACGCATTCTAAAATGTGTTTGCGAAAAAAATCTAGGAAAAAAAGGGTTGAAACACTAGCACTATAATCAACGGAACGGAATATTTCTGCCATAACGAGATTTGGCAGATTCTTAATTGAAATCTTAAATTTTCAGGAACTGCAACAACTGAGACCTTTCAAAAAACGACATCATTCCCAATATCGTGTCTGGAGTTGCTTTCCATAAGATTTGGTTACGAAAAAGTCCTGCAACGTCACCATAAAATATAAAAATGTAATGTCCTTCATTATAAAGTAAATAACGTAAATAAGGTTTCTAGGAATAAAATTCGTACATGTACGAAATGACAGTAACATATATTTTCCAAACAGAAAGAAAAATAAGAACTACATTTGATTTACAATTCTTTATCATTTCTACTGTCCGTTTGTAAGTGTATTCCAATTAAAATATTGTATAGGCCTTGTATGTACATGTACCTGCCTGACTGAATTCATCGAAATGTTTAACATTAAATGAAAGGAGGACAACAGGGTTGGCAAAGTATTTCCCGGGCTCGGGTTTTCCAGGAGTTTCCCAGGCTGCGCAATACTCTCTGATAGAATGGTTAATACTGGGATTTATCATTTTTAAGCTTATATTTTACACAAAATGATAAAAAAATACTGTTACATAGTTTAATATTATTATAGCCAAATATATATACATTTTAAACAGATAACATTGACAGTAATTTTCCTTTTTCTTCAATAATTCTTATAGGCAGAATACCGTTATGTTTTGTAAATTTTTTGGATACCTTGTTTATATCGCAGCTTTGTTTGAATCTGAGACTACAGTTATAGTTATCTTAAATCTCAGTTTGAATCAATCTAAAGAAGGGAAAAATATCATTTTAGTGTACAATGAATTGGAATATTTTATTGCTATTCAATCTTTTTGCTAAATATACACCCCGAGGGGACATTTCACCCACACTTAAAGAGATGAAAAGGCTAATTATTGCAATATAAACAAGTCCGTGTTATAATCTGAATAATTATTACTTATTAATTAGTGATGTCTATGTAAATATGCTAAAATTGTTTCAACACTACAATACAAACTGTTGATTAGTCATTTCCCTTACATTGTTTACTCTAAATTTTAGTTATAAATAAAATGAACAAAATAGAATACTTTGGCTCCAAGTTAAAAGTTTGATCAATTAGGACAAAATAGAAAATTAATAGATTTATACACACAGAAGAAGAAGTATACTTAACAACAAAATTATTTTCATTTACCTGTGTATAATATGACGCAGGTTTCTTCAAAAGTTATGATTTTCTAAAAATTGTTTGACATTTCACAGTGATATCATACTTTAACTTTGTTTAAACCTGTTTATTTACTTTTGACTTTAATTATTTATCCCTTGTAATTTTTTATTAACTGTGTATTTGCATTCAGGTGTCTCAGGTCAAATTTATTCGTTCATTGTGTGTTAATTTACGCTTTTTGATTGAGTTAAGCCTTCCAACTGATATTTTATAGTGTGTTTTTCTATGTTGTGATGTTATACTATTGTTTCAGAAAAGGGAGAAGGTTTGGTACCATTAAAACGTTTAATCCCGCTGCAAATGTTTGCACCTGTCCTAAGTCAGATATCTGATTACAGTAGTTGTCGTCTGTTTATGTAGTTCATACGTGTTTCTCGTTTCTCGTTTTTATATAGATTAGACCATTGGTTTTTCCGTTTGAATGGTTTTACACTAGTAATTTTTTGGGGCCCTTTATAGCTTGCTGTTCGGTGTGAGCCAATGCTTCGTGTTGAAGGCCGTACCTTGACCTATAATGGTTTACTTTTATAAATTGTTACTTGGATGGAGAGTTGTCTCATTGGCACTCATACCACATCTTCCTATATCTATTGTACGTTTTAGGAAAAATATCTATTAACCTAACATGTTAATTTTTAGTAATGTATCGAAATTCTCATCAGAACATTATCGCATTTTGATATGTATTTATATGATTATAATTTTTTTTTTGCGTGATAATAATGCATTTTCATTCTTTTGGAAGTTATATAAAAATATAATCATAGGATATCCAATGGACAAGGTATAATTTGCAGTTGTTACTACACATAGGCAGACATATCTAAATATATAATTCATATCGATTGTATGCTAAAATAGCATCCTGTAATTATACCACTTAGATGAGTAGATGATAATTCCTGTACACTTAAAAATACTCCGTGTATTGTGATTAGTCGTCCTTGTTCAATACCTACGAGAAGGTAACACTTCCCGAAACGAAAGCTGATTTTTATCATTTATAGTTAGAGGAGAGAATAAGGCGTCTGCGCAATGCTATGTTGTGTTGCTCTAGAAGTTAGAGGGAAAAGCACAGGTTCCATCCCCGGTCAGGGAGGAAATTAATCTACTCTAATATTGCTAGGTTGATTTTTTAGGCACTTTATATGTATCTTTTATGTATTGCATTTGTAATTGATCACAGAATCCTCTTAAAGATATAAACCAGTACTTCATATTACCCAGTCATGCCCGGCAGTATTAACCAGCAAAAACCGGGTTTACCCAGTATTTCCAACTGGGTTGGTCAATACTCATAAAATTCGTTTTTTTGCCAACCCTGGAGGACAAGTAGAGATACGCTATCGCACCTAACATCCCTTCTCTCATTTTCCATTTCGCTGTTTCTTTTAATCATATTTGCAGTTCTATTAAATCTTTTGAGATATCCATAAAATGTCAAAGACCATAAAACACCAATTAAAGAAGTAAAGCCAATTTCCTATGAATTAATTTCACATCAGAGAAAAAATAATTATTCAAACATTTCTGAATATTAGAGTACAGCTTTTATTTTCTAACCACATGAACATGTAACCAACTACTTATTGATGACTCAAAACTGTAATTTTAATAGATGTCAGCCAAATTTTACCCCCCTTCTCCCACTCCCCCCAAAAAAATACAAAGTAAAATAAAAAATAAAACGAAAAAATGAGGTATATATTCAAATCCAAAAACAACAAATCTTGCATTTTTAAGTTGAACTTCATATCTAACATTTTTTGGGTTAAGTTTGTCCAAGGTAACAAAATACACTTTAACATGTCAATTTTGTATCGAAGTTGTCATCTATATGTATCGCATTTCAATATTGATTTTTTTCAATATTTTCGCGTGATAATTATAAACTTTCGATTCATTTGAAAGTTATATCAAAATAAAGAGAAGCAGTATTATTGGCAATAAGACAGCTATCTGCCAGACTCTAAATTGACG